GCTTTTTAAACTTAATTTCATGTTTCTCATGACCAAAATATTAGAATAAGATGAAAAGAACAGGGCAGTCAGATAAGTCGTTCCATATTTCAACAATAGGAATCAAGAATTCCTTCTATAATCATGTGATGGTAGGAAAACCTTCATTTCACAGATACTTCGGTCATTTTGATGGTGAGACTGAAACTTGTAAAAAAAATCTACTCATGCTTCTGTTTCACTCAGCAAGCAGCTGTTTGATCTTAAACTAACATAATCATATTAGTTACTGCAGTTAAGAATGTGGGTTATTATTTATAGTCCACATAGACACCTGAGAGTTACGAATGCTTACAACTGCGTAGAGATTATGCAATCTCTCTAATCATTTCCTAATATAAAATTAAAAGCAACACTCACCCCAAAGGTATAGTTGTCAAGTCCATTACTTTCCTTTCCTGGAGCCATGTCATGCAGTGCAGGAGCTGCAAACTCCACCAGAAGGTTCCAGTCTGTGGCTCAGCATCATGCATGAACTTGAAGGCTTCCAGCATAGGCACTGGGACCACTACAGACGCTAATCTGAAACCTTTGTGCCTCCCTGGAAGCACTTTTTTTTTAACAAGCTCAACTAGTTTGCAGTTGGAGAGAACAAGTCAGACGAGTTTTTAGAAAAATGTAACCAAAAATAGGATCAAAGTGCTGAAGGTTCAGACTGTCACAGTTTACTTACTGCTCTCATTCGACTTTGCCACACTTCTATGAAGTGTGTGGACGAGGTGTTGACTAGGCTGGCGTTTTGCGTCCATGCAGGACACGTCCACTCCGGCATGGAGAGCAGCGCCATGGAAGGAGCCAGTAATGTGAATGTGCCACCTTGGAGAATCGGCAGCCTGGAAATAATTAACACAATACGAGAGAGCAAACCATCAGTTACTGTAGCTTTGGGTGATCGAAATGCTTAGACTGACTGAGACAGTGTCTTCTGTGCATGCGTGTGTTTTTTAAGACCTCTCTGACGGCATCTGCAGTCTATTTATTTGAATCATGTGAAGAGAGTGTGACTTATTATGCAAACTGTTCGACTGAAAGTTATGGAGAAACCTGCTTTAAGGTGAAATATTTTCTAGACAAATCTCTCTGGCAGTCTTTAAATATTCGTTTTGTCATTTTTATGTTATGTAGAGAAATGGGGCCTTTTTTAGGGACTTTATTTAGAAATTTTACCCACATTGCAGAGATGCCCCAGTGGTTCCCAGCACTGCTCCCCGCTGAGTCAAAGAGGGACAGTCCAATGAGAGAAATAGTAGGAGCGATGGTGAGAGGCCCAATGAAGCGCATGAAGAGGCCGATGAGGCCTGAAAAACCAACCAGCACCTGGAAGACTGATCCCACAATAATGGATCCCTGAAGCTTAAGAAAACACAAAAATGTTGACAGTTAACCTTTTTGTACTAAAAAACATTTCTGTTGTTATTTGCTGGCAAACATTTCCATTG